AGACATTGACCTGCTGCTCAAACAGGAACCCTCATCACTATTTGATTGTTGTGTTCAAATATTATTCCTAATATGTAGGATTTTTGTATATTGTGTGATGCATCCACATTACACAATATACTATTACAAGTACCCCGCCTTCACCCGATTTGCTGGCCGGGATTGGCTCCGCCCCCCACCCCCCCTGACCCCGTTCAGGGACTAAGCGGTAGAAAATGAATGAATGAACTATTACAAGTATAATAAGAATTATTTTTACTATGCCCACAGAAAATCTCAGCAGAAGACCACTTCTAACACTCATGTTTATTACTCTATTAGTGCCTAGTTAATCAGTGTTTCTTAATGGTGACTTTTTTTAGAATGTGCACTGCATGCCACTCACTTCATCCCATTCCCTCATCACAAACATCAGTGTTTGTTCCAGCCCCTCAGGCAGTGCCAGTTTTATTGAAAGCCTCCCACAATCAACATAAAATCACTCCAAGATAACACAGTAAGTTGGTCTCTAATCTTCTAAAAACAGATTTCAGCTATGCCAACTGAGCAAGGTCCCAGTGGAGATATTTCCATACAACTTCATCTGTTCCATTACTGGCCTTGCTTAACGGCCTCTTAACTGCCACACGACTGAGTCGACTCAGCAACAGTGTCAAAGTATTATTGTGGGTGTCAGTGGTACTCAACACTTTGACTCTCATTACCATCATAATCCTTTCCACACATGGGTGGTTTTTTTCAGATTGGGTATCTGGGAAAATTAAGACTCATTAATTTTCTCCCTAAATTCAATAAATCACTTAATGAAACTGCTCTCATTGCATTTACTGTATGCATCTTTATACCTACAGTATATTCATACCTACCTACTTCAGTAGGAGAGTAATGACTGAAATGCATAGGTACATAGACTGCTGTCACGTAAAGTTTGTGTGTGAGGTGGCAGGGAACATTTTTCCTCTTGCTAAAGGAAGCTTAGAAGCAAAAAATGTCACAAATAAGATTTCTGATGGGTGGAAAATGCCCTTGGATACATGAATAAACAATACAATAAGATAAATTATTTTACCAGAAAATTGGTTACAAAAGGTTTTATTTTTATTTTCAAATAGTTAATAATATAAATTAAAGATTAATGTTTTGATCGAAACATCATTTAACATGAATACCAGGTTACTGATGAAGAAAACCTCAGGTTCCAAGGAGTAAAGATGCTCAGACACTCACTGTTGACTTCGTAAGTATATTGCAGAGAGTATGGAGTGTTCATACAGCATTGCATGTCAAATTCACACTGAAGAAACAACTCTCAACATATAGATCTTAAACTTACATGCTCTTAGAACAGAGGAACTTGAGAGAACCAGTTCCAGAAGCTAGCTTCCCCATACACACACGCTTATCAGAATCTGCTTTATTGGCCAGGTGTGTCTGGTACATCGGCTCTCAATGTGTATGTACATATCTAATGTATATTATCTTATGCAACTAAACGTTCTGACCAAGAGAGAATATTTGTATCTTAACTCACTGGCAAGAATAACATAAAGCATACATGACGATGACATACATGACATGATAAATTCTCCCACAGTTACACACGCTTGCCCAGCGGCACATTTAACTATGTATTGATAACTGCCCTACAGAATATTTACATTTTTGAATCTTACTTGCAGTGTATTATGTTGAGAGGAACCTAACTAAAATCTAGCTGTATCCCAAGGTTTTTGAAAATATCCCATTAGCTAACTACTGTACGCACCAGACATTTATCCTAACCTCTGAGCAGAGACATGCAGACATGTTTTTCTCTGGTATAAGCAACAAGGACGCTGAGATGTATCATTGAGGTAATGGGAAAAAAATCCAAAAAGCTGTAACTGGATAAAAAATGAATACCTTTTTTATCAAATGTGAAAATACATTTAAAGAAAATATAACATTGCAAGTACTGAAATCACATTTGTGTGTACATTGCACAATACCTTATTCTTTCTTAGCTTGAGATGATGCAACATTTGTTCATGTAGCAATAGATCATTTGTAGTTGGCACAGCATCCTGACCACCAGTGGTAAATATAATCCTTCTAGAGATTAACTGCATGCTAAAAAAATCATGTGGGTATCCATGCACATTGACTTCTTAACTGTGTGCTGAGATTGCAAAATGGTTCTTAAACTGAATAGGTGGATGAGCATGATGGTTAAGCAGTCCATGTGCATGGATTATTAAACTTCAAGGGGAACAGAATATGTATTTTGATATTGCTTTGTCCTGTTCATGACAGTATGCATGTGAATTGTTAAATAACATCATACATGATAGACAAAACAATGTACATGTGGAAGAATTTGTGCTTTAAAAAACAATAAAATAATCAAAATAAAATATTATGTAATAATGTTAAAAATGAAAGTGTTCACTTTAGTCTCAAAATGTCCCTAGTGTGTATTGAGTGGAAGTAAAATTTTTATTTTTTGTATACCAGTACAGATTAAATGATACTAAGAGGATAAAATGCAAGTCTGGAAGAGTGTTAGGGCAAATAATTTGTGCATGAATAAATAAAGGTAAATTGTGTAGTATTGAATTTGAAGTCAATTCTGACCTTGTGATGTGTGTGTGATCATCCCTTTTCAAGGTCTCTGAGGTCACACTTTGAGCCAGGTCTTGGTAGTTTCTTATCATGGAAAGTAAGTGCCATCAGGAGATGCTGTTGCATAAGTCTATATGCTAACAGCCATGTACAGTACAAGATGAAAAGAAGAACTCTACTGTTCAGCATCCTTTTAATCGAATAATAGACCTGCATCCTTCAAGTTTTATTCACTATTTCTAAATCACTGGCTATGTTTCCTTAGTAGCACAACCACTCTGATGATTGCTGCAGAATGCTGCTTTACTCCTGCCCTCACCCCAGTGTGCTGATAGGATTGTTGTTGTTAAAGCAGTGTCACACTCAGGGGCAATTTTTGAAATATCCTTTGCTAAATTCCCTCAGTTTTGGGTTGACTTTGACCTTGGCTGTCACTGATGAGGCCTCTAATGTGTTCATGTTTGTATGGCTAAAATGAGTGCTCTCCCATTAGCAGCCTGTCACAGCCTGCCTGTTGAGTGCAGCCTTCTTCGGCGCCCTGGGGTCATCTTTTCTTTATGGTTACAACCTATCTGTGGTCAACGCTCCCGCTCTGGTGAGTTACGTTCTATCCATCTGTCTGCAATACTAGAAATCAATGAACATTCATTTCCACACTACTTCAGAACCAGGTTTTAATAAATGAGAAGTAAGGGCAGAAGGATATTGAATCGTCTCCTATTTTTAATTTATTGTCCAAAACACACATGCTCAAAGTGTAAAGCCACTGTTAGTTAATTTAAACTGCATTACATCACCTACTGTGTTAGTTAGATTTGCCTTATTTTTGTCATTGAATGTGAATAAAAATGGACATTGCCATGGGCAATTCTATTTCCTACCACATTCTTTGCCTGCTGCAACAAACACAAAACAATCAGCAGAGGGTCTTGTCAGATTAGACTGAATTGCCCACCCATCAGTTATAGACAACTAGTTTCTAATCTGTAATTGGAAAAAGCTGAATGATGGTAACACTTTGCTGTTCAATATGACTCTCGTCTCACTTGCATACAAACACAGAAGAGAACGTTGCATTGAAATCATTTTTAACCAAGTTTTGCTTGTGCAAATATTGTATATGCTGGGGTTTAATTCTCATCTTTAATGTGGCTCGGGATGGAGAAGAAGGAAATATAATTACAGTGAATATATGTTTACTAAGTACAGGGCTTCCTGTCAGATTAAAAAAAACAATCAGTTAAAAAAATAGACATTTTCACATTCTGCAAATCCTATGAGTGGGGATACTAAAGTTGTAATTTTAAATAGCTTTTATGTATAGGTCCAGTTGAGTGGTGCCACTTTTGAATGGGAAACAGCAGTTCAGAGGTTTTCATTCAGGCCATGTTTTTGTTTAGAGGTAATTAGATGCCCCACATGTCATTTAATTAGTATTCAAACATTGTCACCCTCAGCTCTGCAGCTGCCAAAACAAGTACAGGGAATGATGCTGGAAACACAGAAAGCAGATTTCAGCTTTCACTGAATAAAACTGAAATAGAGCCTCATTCACGCCAGTGTCTCGGACTGATACAGAAGTAGAACTTGTATTTTGTGTAAACACAAGCTTAATATTTGTTTTGTAAAAATAGTAAAGTTTTCATAAATGTCATGATGTGTTCAGGGAAAGTTTTCTGCAAACATTTAAGAAAAGTGGGCACATCATGATTTATTGCATTTTTGGAATTGAAAACAGAGTGAGTACTCATAGGATGGAAGTGTGACGTGACCATATGTTTAGTCCTAACGATAGTGTCTGAAATCAGTGCCCAGTTACTATATGGTGCACTATATTGATCATCTGCTCTTTCTTTGTGTTTGATTGTTTGTCTGAATTCTCTTTGGCCTTCATAGTGCCCTCAAAGAGTCCACAGTGTTGATACAAAATGATGATGTACAGTAAGTGTCAGAAATCTAAATTTACTGTTGACTATTGAGTGTGTATTGTATAGGGAGTGCTAAATGAGTGAACAAAGAAGTTATTTCAGACACAGCCGTAAACACTACATTCAGCCATTCTGCTTCATCAAGTTTGATCACATTTTATTGACAGCGGCCTGCTACCGCAAGCAAAATCAACATTCAGCTCAACATTTTCATCCCGATTTGCTCGGCCCAGAGATGTTACATCACCTTTTAATTATGTACTGTGTGTATAACTTGAGCAAACCAGGCCTCACTATATTAGCCTTGATTGATGAGTGTAAAAGGGAAGGAGACAAAACCTGCCATAGCAAGTTAATCTGGTGATCTCCATGACCCGTGCTCGTTTGCTCTAATGCAGTGCTATACACTGTTAATTGTTCAGTAATGTGGAGCGCCATACATTCTGTCATACCTGTAATGGCCTTTATCTTCTGTTTGTCTTCTACCCATTCCCTGCAGTAGGTGAATGACAGAAAAACAAGGAATCACAAAAGATAACCTCTTTTAAAATTCAGGCAGAATCATAAAGGGCTGATTACTGGTGCATCGGCTCTGTGATAATGTGTCCCCACTGACAAACCAAGTCCCTAGTGCTTTCACTGAGTGTCTCCTTTCTTTTGCTTTGGCTTCCTGACCTATTATTACCTCCGAAAAGGGGTCAGTGATGGGCTTGTGTTTCTGTAAATACACCCATTTCTTTTCTGCAGCACCTGGTGTGGCAGTACCCAGATGGTTTAGGGGATTGTTGTATATAAACACATGAATGACTTCCCATCTCCTAGGTTTCTCAGTAACAACCTATTTATGGGCAGTTAAAGCTCTACAGTGCTGCGCATGTGTGTATATTCTGATGCTCCTGAGTCTGCTGTATACATTTCACGTAGATGTAGTTGGACTGTAATACCATCACAAAACAAATCCTGCAGATGCTCTTGAGTTGAGACTTTTCTGTTTCAATAATTTGATCTATATGTCATCAATGTGCAGGAGTGATCAGCGTGTTCAATATTTAAAAATTAATGTGAGCGTGCCATCAGTCATGAAGTTTTCAGAACCTCAGATAGTCCAGCAATACCCTTTTTCAGCTCAGTTTATATCTTTTCTAACTTTTGCTTGCACAAAATCTCTGGGGAATTAATGAGTTACATCTCATCATTTCAGTAGATCCCAGCTACTGTGCTTCTGCAGATTCAGCTGACACTCCAGTTCATGTGTATGTTAAGCTGTTTTTCTGTATCTATCCTCTTCTATAGTTTCTGCTCAGCAGGACCACAAGCTGGTTATTAAG